TATCACAGTTCGGAAGGCGTTCGAAAATAATGCTGACGTCAGCACTTTCATTTTTCAAGACGCTGTAACTCAGGTAGCTTGCTCACAGACCTGTGAGCAGGCTATAACTCAGGAGGAATTAATCATATTGATTCAAAATTTTTGGTGAACACTAGTAATAGTGATATAAACAACATATTAAACTTCCAGTATACTGTTATTGTTTGTTACTTACCGTCAGAATGGGAAAGGTCCATCACTTTTGTCTTTTGTAATAAAATATGTTGTCAGACGTCCATGTTTATAAACAGTCACATGGCTACCATCGAAAAATATCGTGATGTTCCGGTATATTCCGGGAAAATGACGTGTAATTCCGTGATATTCCGCCATATTCCGTGATATTCCGGAATATTCCGTGATATTCCGCCATATTCCGGCATTCCGGGTTTTCACAACGCCCTAACTGGAATGCAGAATGCAGCCTTTAAGGCCTGTTTCAAACGTCGCGCTTCTCATGTGCCGAACGCATTCAGTTAAAAACAATCGATAATCAGCTGAAACGCCTCATTATCTATAATTGTTTCTAATGCGTTCGGCACATGAGAAACGCGTCGTTTGTAACAGGCCCAACTTAATTCCCGAATTTTTAGCAACGACGGGACTTCGCTCGAAACCTTGCAGTTTTATTTGTATTTTTCAGGTAGTTGACCGCGTTTGTTTGTCCGAGTCCTAGCAGTTTCCGTTTCAAGTTTGCGTGTGGGGGCTGCGAGCAGGCTATCCGAATTCCTGTTATTTGATACATGTAGAATGTCACGTGTTCTTGAGAGTCGGAAAAGTGGATTGAAGTCCTATGATGAAATTCATTTTTGCATATGAATTTCGTCCCCGTTAGAATGTATCAAAAATTCGATCCCTTTGCTTTAACTGAATTTACCCCCCACCCCCAATACTCACTATATTCTTTTATAATCTCCATGCCTATTAAATATATAGTGTCTTTCTTTGTCGGTTTAATTACGGGTTGATAATTAGTGTGGTTGATAGTCTCAGTATATAATCAGCTGCATGAAATGTCTCATTTTATCTATTGTTTCTAATGCATTCGGCACATGAGAAGCGCGACGTTTGAAACAAGCCTAAAAGCAGTTGTTAGTCTGGCACGCACAACCGGCACAAGGTGAAATAACTATATTATAGAGACAAATCCTCATTTCATTACGCCTGATGATAGAGCTAGTAAGCAACTTCCGAAAAGTTAACAACTAACAACTCGTATAATTTAAGACTAAGTCGGGATACTATAATTAAGTGCCCTTAAAAATATATACTGTATATAAGCGAGTCTGATCATGATCTACATGTAAATTATGCATGCAGGTCTCTGCACGGTTATTATATATATTTTGCACACAAATTATTAACGGACAGATGTTGGAGTGCTATCCAAATACATATCAAGACGACACTGTTTTCCTGCCAATACAATGTCTACGAAAGATTCAGACGTGACGGAAACTTATAAACGGGAGCCATCCTTGTATTTCCCCCAAGAATTTAAAGAACATTTGGAAGATCTTGTGTTTGAAATACTTAAAGAAAAACCAAGAGATCCACTTGAGTATGCGTTTAAATTCTTTTCAAAAAGGCTAAAAGCTCGAGAAGGTATAATGATATTGAAATCATGCGTTCAAAATAATGTGATATTGTTTATCAATCTATAGCTATGTGACAAATATTCAGTCAAAACCCTAGCTGACTATATATGTATGAACTATATATTTTATAATATCGATAGTTGCCGGTATATTTTGTCTAGACTAGAGACAAATTAATTTTTATTATGTTGTACATAAATTGTAGAGTCACCGATTATTACAGAAATTGATGAAACGGAAACAACAACAGCGAATCTTGTTTCGAAGCAAGTTTCAAGAATTGTACGTATGGTAAAATATGCAGTTATCTATATGCATAGTTTTTGGAACAATTTGAAACGCCATTATGTTTTGTATGCATATAATAAGTTTCAAATCATAACCTGATTTTGATTTGTAAGGCATCAACTAAGATCACGAACACTTCTGTGACGTCACCAAAAAGTAGTTATAAAATTTGTTGTAGTTCGACACAAAAATATTCATAGCTAAATCTTGGATTTAAAAAATGTTTACAGTTTTGATTAAACTGACTTATAAGCGCTGCATCGGGTCAGTGGCGGATTACCCAGTAAGCTGAGTATTAAAGCTGAAGTCTATATATTTATTGGCCCGGGCTTATCAAAAGTCAGACAAAAGATAACCGTTATTCTTAGAGAATGCACTTTTTATTTTCCTTAAATTAGCAATGAGATATTGATATGGCAGGTAATCCGAAAAGCATAAGTTCCTTGGTTTCTTGAGCGTTGATCTTCACTTCTATTCTTGTGTCTTCACTGTATCGCCTGCACGTTATTCACTGTACCGCCTGCCGCCTGCATGGATATTTCCACTGGATATTTCCATGACCTTTTAAATAATTTTCAAACTTTCGTCAGTAATTACAGTTTTCGGTAGTTTCTACGTTATGAGTTAGTAACACAAGCCATGTAATGTAAATATAAAGGAACGGGAGGAGCGTAAACGTCAACAAGAGACTGAACTTAATTAATATATATTAAGCGCATTCCAAATGTCCAGAAATTTATGACCACTGCTGCACGTACGCATTCGTTATCGTTGTCTGCATCAACAGAACGTGCGAACTCGCAACGTTGCGAGGCTTCTCTCCCCCGCAGAGGTATATTAATACCATTCTTCCGACCACAGCTCTCGGAGTTAATCGGGATAGGTTGCTGAACAAAATATTAATCACACTTGCGTATCCCGATCATAGATATCTTATATATACTAGATAGTGCATTTAATTATTCTGCAATTCAAAAATTGAAGCCGTGATTGCAGACTCAGGATATTCCCACGGAATGCGGAGAAGACTCGTATGCTTTCTATTTCTTAAACAGGGAACTTAAACATTAAGTTAAACCTACTCCAAATACATTTTCAAACTATTCAAATGATGAAAGTTATTGTTGTTTTTTAAGCATTTATTAGCGAGTGGAAAACTCCAACATGGCCGCCATCTATTCAAATGGGGGTAACCGCTGGAATATTCTTGGCTTCAATTTTACTTGAAGAGATGCGCTATCTAGTGTATATAAGATATCTAAGATCACGATTTACTTCGAGAACTGTCCGAAGATGTCCAAAGAACAATTCTGCGGAGTGGAGAGTTGCGAAGCGCTGACTACACTTGACGCTGAAACAGCTGAAATTAATAGTGAGGCTTGAAAATATTAACATATATCCCGCTGTATATTCGATTAATTCCTATGATTTGCAAGAGTTGAACACGGCCCCAGGAATCAGGAAATAGCTTTTCCGAGACCTTTTAAAAATTTCCAAATATTTTCAATAATTTTCGAGGCCTCGGTAGAAGATGTGCATTATCCTCAAGGCGCAAGAATTTTACTTAGCCTATACAGGCTCGTTACTGGTAATCTGCATGCCACTGTGTGTCGTTTCAGTTAAACAACTCAGTGTTTTGAAATTTGGCGCGTTTCACATTACTTTTCACGATCATTCTAACTCAACTTTTTTGGAATTTGTTAGCTTTAGATTACGCATTTGTGATTCTCGCGCGAATGTACCCCACCCGTCAATAACATTATTGCCATTCTTGTATAGCCCCTGCGTCGCGTCTAATACAGTGCGGCGTCTGAATCACAGGCGGCGGAACAGGGGGCAGGAGACTGTACCCCCAAAATTAAAAGTGGGAGCTAACTCCAAAAGAGATCAGAGAAAAAGTTATAAGAGGGTCCTGAAGGGGTAAAATGGGAACTGGGATTTGCTTATTTTTGAGTGGGAAAATGAGATTTCATGCACTGGGACTGGGATTCATCAGAAAAAAAAAACAACAGAAAAAGGGAATGGTATTAAGATTTGAGCAGGACAGCCACTGAGATGATGGGATTTGTGCTCTGGGACAATGGATTTAGTCAAAATTTGGGCTGGGAAATGGGAATACGACCCCCCTCTTCAGGACCCTCTTATAAGAAGATACGCGAGTAAACAAAATGGCCAAAATTGTGGTCAATATAGAATATTCCTGAAGTGAATTTAAACTGGAGGGCTTCGACACTCCTAACAATTTTTATAACCTGCGTTAGCAGGCAGTTAGCGGACACGAGAAAGGCGGCAACGAGAAACATCACCCGTGGATCTCGTAAAATAACACTTCTCACACATCGCTGAGAGCTGCTGCAGCGTCAGCCGCAAGCTTGACATGCATTTATTAAACTACCATACATTACAGTTGCTCGCTGCATAATTACTATAACAAGTACATATACCCAGTGCAAAACTGTTCTGTTCCCCTACTCTCTACTACTAAACATAAGAGGGCTGAGTGGGTGGGATACTGTCAAGCTACGTTGAGCAGCAACAAAAATATGCTCAGCTAACCTGCACCGCCCTGCAACACCATGATTTCATCAGGCCTCCAGCAGCGGTGTGAGAAAACATTTTCCGCTTCTTTCGTGCCTAAGCCAGCGGAAAGTAACACATTCTGAAATACTTAATTTTTGCATAGACGATATTTCCCGTTGATCGTCTGCTACAAGGGCTACGGAATCTTCTGTTGGGTACTCACCTTAGCTTTCAACACAATGCAAACACGACATGCAAAACATGATACACCTGTCACAGTATTCAATAGCCTGAGCGCAAGCTATCACAGCAGTGGCGTAGGAAGATATTTAAAATTATGCGGACTGAAATTACACAGATTAGTTGGACTACCCGGCGATGGAAAAAGCTCACGCAATTGTTAAACAAGACATAGACGAGTTAATAATCTATATATAGGACTGCTTAGCCCCCAAACTGGTCTGAAGTGATTGATTTACTAACTTCTATCAATCTCATGATTGATTTACTAATTTCGTAAAATAGATGAAATTCCATTTATATCCATCACTTTAGGTGGTGCAAGACCATGAGGCAGAAAATACAGATACTCAGTCAACAAGGACGTCCAGCAATATGTCAGAAACACAGGCAGCAACAATTATTCAAACTTATTTTCGTGCTTATAATATTCGACAAAATAAGTGGAAGAATCGTTACTTGAAGACATCGTTAAACTATCATGATCACTTGAGTGCGAGACGTGATTTACATTCACCGAGGGGAAGTTTCTCATTCTGCTGGCCAGAGGAGAATATATTGGCAATTACAAACTATGATAGTGAGGAGAGCGTGGACAATTAAGCTACCCTTATGATCTTATCATATGACCTGCTTTATGAGTTTCGACCGCGCATTCAAATGGCGTGTTCTTTGCGGAGTAAGGGAGCGGTCATTAAGTATGCAGTGCATGAATTTGGAAATGGCAGAAAACAAAATTACTTATATACATTTTAGTATTCGAACCGAAAGATATGATACATTACTTTTTTTCTCTTAAAAGTGCTTATCTTTCTTTTAAACAACCGTTAGGAAGCAATAGTCAGTCAATTCACATAAAGCACCCCAAACGGTAAACTTCGAAAATTGTAACCATTGGTGTGCTTATGAACCATGAATATGATGTAAATAAACAATGTATAAGCATCTCGAACAACTACAAGGTACTGGAAAAACAATTTATAGTTGCCTTTGTCTTAAGAGTAAAAATGAGACCAAACCA